ATTCGAAGAAGCATGCCGCAATGGGGAAAGATACATTGATGAACGAAAAGCATTGAAACGTCACAGAAGGGAATATTCTGATTTACTTTTAAGCCTTCTGTCGCAAAAAAATGACTTGGCTCACTTTCTTTAATTTGTTGATCCGCAATGACTGTTGAAGAGACGAGTTTGGACCAATGAAATGCTTCGTGTATGATGGTCCCTTAGTCTTCAAGTTTGTCACTTGTTAGGTGTGATTGACTTCGTCGCAGTGGCCTATCGCTGCTCTCGTTCGACGATTACTTAATTGCCTTCAAATCGGCTGAGAAGCTTCATTCAGTCCTTGTATTTGCAGGCCTGGTGTTATCTACTGTTTGTATCAACAAAGAACCTGAAGAACGACGCCCGTTTGAAGCACTTGCTGAAGTAGCGATAAATCTTGCTAAGGCAAAGTCAATCACAGACCTGTATCAACCTGGCGTTAAGCGTGCTCTGATCATTTCTTGGTTTTTCAAAGGTTCTTAGCTACTAAGGATCGTCGTGTCGACCTTTCAAGTTCTGCGACCTTTACACTGATGGGTCAGCTAGAAAAGCAAATCTCGTAAATAGTGTTCTTTACCTTTTCCTACGGAATCTGACCTTTCTCATTCATCTGCAATGAACTTATCTGTCTGACACAAATCACAAAATGACAAAGAAATTCGCAGGGAATAACATACTTTTCTAGCATTTAGAGAGACGTGGACACCTGGGGTGGAAGTGACGGTGATCAGTTTATCTTCTCTCATTTCTCTATCTCTCTTTCCACTAGAGTCTTAAAGGACAAATTGCGGCTTCGACCCGTAAGTAATTTCGCTACCCAGCTTTTTTGCTAGAGCAAAGATGAAAGTAATATAGTTAGTGCTAAACATGAACTCGGTTTAACCATTTCAAATGAGCAGTGGGCGGGTAGATAACTTACCTGACAGACCAGAAGTGAGATTGCGCACTCTTCCTTACCGTAATTGAGAGTTGATATATCCCAGATGACTCGACAGATTGTTCACATCATTTTTCTGACATTTAAAACCAATCTTCATCACATCGAAGGTCTGAGTGATATAAACATGCCACAGCTCTGGTGAGCGAGTACGTCCCTGTTAAAACTGAGTGCGATCCTCTTAACCGAATAGCCTGATAGATTAGTCAAAACCTGGCCCCTTTGGTGACTCGGGGACGTACCGCAGACGAAGTCGGCTTCTAACTTTAAAAGCGTTGTCTCTAACAGGGGCTCCTCAGTTGTTAGAGCGTCGGAACTTGAGCCAGAGAGGTTTCAATTTCGAGCTCCACACAAATCACTCGCATTTCTTTCTTCTGAGGTTGATAAACGAGTGTCATTATGTAGGAAAAACAGGAGATTACACAGCATGGTTGTCAAACAGCTGCTGTCGACTCTGCCTTTAAAATAATAAGGCACTTCTAACTGATGGCATGACATGGAAATCATCGCCGGCCACTAACTAAATGAAACGAAGGGGACGAAAATGGCCCTATCATGAAAGTGCAAGGAAGATGACGTTCCAAAAATTACAAATTTTCCTTTCCATCTCCTGGAATGATGGTTCAATGCTAGGTGTTTACAAACAGAACCTTGTTTTATGCCTCAAAAATTTAACCTTCTCCATTTTTCTTCTATGAACTGACAATCAACATCAATGTTGTAGTAAATAAAGCAAACTTCCAGTGCTATTCTAAGACAGTATTAAATTTCACTTTCTGATTTGATGTTATCTTCGCTGTTACTGACCGAGAGTGTAACGTACTTTGCTAATGAAATGTTATTTATATTTCGCTTGCTCTCATAAACCATAAACGTCGTCTTATCTGTGGCATTACTCTTAACATACAGTGATATACCCGATATGACGGAGAACACTGATACTTACGTTTGAAGCAGGCTTGTATCTCCAGGGATTCTGAGGTCCCCATTGTAAAATGTTAGACTATATGAGGGGTAAAAATAGCCGTCCATGACAGTCACGATGATGCTCTCGTACGGCTTTGACGGTGTAAGTATCCATATGGAATTTTTCCATATACCGAAGTAGCCCTGCTGACTAGATGAAAGGTATACTTCTCGTTCTAAACGGCATCATAAGAGGCGCATTCTCATTTTGCTAACGCCTATGCATACCGAATTGGCATACGGGGCCGTAAAAATTATATGCGCACTGGCAGGAGAATCCGAGAAG